TGGAGTGGTCAGGCAGGGCCTCTGGGAGATGGAGGAGTTTCTTCCCCCTGCGGGGGCTCATGAAAGGTGGGGAGGCTGGCCCTTCTCCTGCAGCCCTGAGAGAGTAAGGCACGGCCTCCCATCACCGTCCTAGCCCATGGCGGGGCCTGTCTCAGTTTCTGAGACGGGAAAAGAGAGAGGGCAAGTCAGGTGTGAGGACCACCCAGGGCAGCATCCAGTAAAGGAACTAAGGGCCTGGGCAGGGAAGGTGTGAGACCGAGAGAGCAAGCTAGAGGTGTTGGACCAGCAGAGGCTTTAGGCCCTGCAGGATGGGTGGGTCAGCTGGGTACCTCTCTGAGCCGGGACTTTCGAGAACAAGGTGGGAAAACCCCTTTCCTGCCCCCAAACTACTAGATCCTTCCTCTTGAGCCTATACAGGGTTCTAAGGAGTCTGGCCAAATTTCAGCCCAGACTGTGTTTGCAGACCACTGCCCGCCTCCTCAGAGCCAATCCGGAGGCCTGGCGCTGACCCCAGCTGTCCCCGGCCTGCCTGCGGCTGTTGGGCTCCTTCCCCTACACGGACGGACAACCTGCCCTGGCCGCCTCGGCCCCTCATTGTCTGCTAACCACTGTGTAGAAGTTTGGGGCTTCCTTTGACCTTTCCGTTGTGCCTGGTTATGCAGCGGCCACCGGGCTGACACGCCGGCCCTGGCGTCGTTGCTGGGGCAACAGCGCGGGCCCCTGCCCGTGGCCCTGAGCCCTCAGCACTTTCATTCTCTTTCTTTCTTTCCTCCTCGTTCCTCTCTCTCCCTCTCTCTCTCCCTCTCTTTCTCTGTCTTTCTCCTTCTCACTCTCTCTCTTTTTTTTTTTCTTCACTCTTTTAGCATGGTTTTCCTAAAAAGTTTTTTAATCAATCAAATTTGAGGCAGAAAATAGGTTTTGTCACGCCTGGTCCCGGGGTGGTTTGGCTCTCACTCAGGCTCCTGACAGCTCCTCAATGCAGGACGGAGGCCAAACAGAATATTTCTCGGGGAAAGTGCCCGTTTCCATGACACTGCCCCTTGTTGTCTGTGCTGCCCCCTCCTCAAGCTGCCCGCTGACACGGCCTCAGCCCTGTGAAAGGGCCCGGCCCGGAGACGGACGGGGTGTGTGCGGGTGCCGGAGGGGGCAGGAGACAGGATGGGGGGGGCGGGGTAGATGGGCCGCGACAGCTGCCCCGAGCCTCCCCTCTGTGGCCTGCGAGGGCTGGGGAGCAGGTAGGGGCGGCAGGGCTGAGGAGCCTGGCTCGGTGCTGCGTAATCAGCTGAGCCTCATAAATATGGAGCCGGGGAGCCCGGGGTGAGACGCTCGGAAGCCACATCCCGGATGGTCGGTGGCTCCAGCCAGAGGGGACTGCAGGCAGATGAGGCCTCTTCGGGTCCCGGTATGCTGGTCACAGCAGCTTCTTCACCCTTCCCTCCTCTGCAGCCTTTCCCTCCACCCCCTCCACCCCACCA